TGAAATGCAATTTTTGCCAAAGAGCTTTTAAAACAAGGCAATGAGCCAAACATGAATTGGCAGGCAGACACATACTCATGCAGAGCAGGTGGAGGCTTCAGTGTAGAGTCGATTAAAGGAAATAAAGAACACTGATTTCAAATCACGTAACGCTGTCAATAAGCTACAAGCGCTTGTGCTCTTATGCTTGTGCAATAATTAGTGTGGATCGATGGCTGCTCACATGGGCGGGCAGACGAGGGAGGAGGGTGGGTGCCGTTTTTACAGAGATTTACTGTAGGCTGAGACAAAAAAGGAGAAGCCGAAAAGACCTCACGCAACCTTAGCAGCTGGTGTGTATGAGCTAGGAGAGACGAGGTGTGACTGTAGACGCTCTCCTCCCAATTACATCCAGCTGCCTGCTCCCGCACCCCGCCATGAGCTGATTCTGCAGCATGCCTGGAACGCAGCGCCCGCCCCGCTCACCAACCGGCCCCTCACGCTATATGATTATTCTGCTGCTGCTAATCAATATTCACAGGGCCTTGAGCATGGAGCTTCTCCTTGAACAGCTGCTTAGAGTTTGTAACGCTCTGTGCAAAAGTCTATCAGAGCTCACACGCTTAAAGATTTAGTGGTTTAGTTATGCCGGCAGGAGAAAAAGACTTGGTTATGCATAGTCACTAGAGAGGAGGAGTTAAAACGGCAGATTTATAATATAAAGTTATTCATAGATGTGGAGACGAAGGTGCTAAAGGTCAACAGGTAGTTTGGGGTACCAAATGAACCAAAAAGCCTGATCCGTCTCCAAACTGCTTTCCTATGCAAATTAGTCATTTTGTGATGGCCACAGACGGTTAATTCTGAGTAGAGCTGGTAATACATCAGCACTGAGAACATCACCTTAACTCACTAACATCTGCAATGTATAAATGTTAATGGCTGCAATGCTAACTGCAGGACAACGCTAGCCTGCGCTAATGCTATTGTTTTGATTCATGGTTGATAAATGACTTGCTTGCCTTTTGAGAGATCTGGATACCGTACACAGTTGTTCAGAGTTCCTAGCTTTAGGCAGGCTCACAGAGCCATCAGGGTAGACCAGCCAATCAGCATACAGCTAATTTATTATCCAGCTAAAACAGGCTTCCTACAGGTTTCATCAAGTTAAATTCAAGACCATTTAAGACCTTTTCAAGACCACTTATATAAAAATGTAATACTTATTTCACAGCCCTAAACATGTGTTCATTTATTTAACTTTTTTTTATTATGTTTAGCTAAAACACTCGGTAGAGGACAATAGCAGGGCGCTTTGAGCTTTCACAGAAAGGGTAGCTAGGTAACGTAAAACACATGTTTAAAATATAACAATAGGGCTGGGTACCAGTAGATACTTCCTGAAACTTCTACTTTAACAACACCTGGTTTTTGATGGCGGTACCATAACGATATGTTTGCTGAAATCTATATTTTTTTATTTTAATAGAGGATAACAAACTACCTAAAGGTTTTGTTCTTGTTGTTTATATTATATTTATTTATATTATACTTTATTTTTATTTTCTTCTAAGCAAAAACAGCAAAGGCACAAAATTGAAATATCTGTATAAAATAGGCTTCATTAATGCTCGACTTCATGTCAGTAACATCAGTAATAACAACCCTGCTGAACTGCAATTATTAAGCTGATAAACAGCAGCTAAGCAGCTTTTATGTCCCATTTCTGCTTTTACCAGCCTCCACCCTCAGACCCCTCCAGTGTTTAGGAAGGTGATGGACTCGGGTTTACCGTTTTGCAGTCAAAGACTTTCCATGTTTCAGCCCTCAAGATGATGCGCTTTGTTAAACTGCTGCCATTCCTGATTTTCGTGGCACAAATCTCGCTGATGTTGCATTTAGCTGCCGATTATTTTATCAAAATGCACCCAAACGTTGTTTTTTTTTAGCATTTTCATCCGCGAACTTCAGAGAAGGGTTGTTGAAAGGAGGCGCGTCTCCTCCACTCATAATGTGACTTGGGATCAGTCATGTGAACCGCGGTGGCACATTGGAGCATTTTAATACTTTTTTCTGATATCGGTACTTACAGAATGTTTTCACTCAGTCCCAAAGAGGTCCAGGGTTCTGGCACCCAGCCCTAGGCGTCAGTCAACCTTTCTTATGGTCAGTGTTATGTTTACTGTTTTGTAACACTGCTGTAGCGCGGGAGCTGAATGACTCACCTGTTCAGAGTATTTTGACCCGGGGCTGAGCTGCGTTCTCAGTTATTGCTTCTGCCACTCTTTATGCTACGTTATAAATGATTTTGGTTGACAAATGAAACTTTAGAGGACAAATACAATAACGGAGAATTTACATAAAGCACAAATTTTAAGACACAGCTGTCAAAATTCAAGACTTTTTAAAGACTTTTTTAAAGTATTATTTAGGGATGGACAATATATCGGCATCAATATCGGTATCGGCCGATATTAGTCATTTTTTTACATATCGGTATCTGTTCGATAATTAAAACCGGGCCAACAGATATTTTTTCCATCTCGTCTCCATTTGTTTGCCTGTTTCAGAGGGTGAGGGGGGTGATGTGTAATTGTTTAGTCATGTGAACACTGAATGAAATCATCTTAAATGTGTGTGTGTTGTGTGTACATAATACCGTAAACTCAGCTTTAATAATTTTCATTTTATACAAAATCTGCTGATTTCAGAAGCATTATTGTCAGTATATCGTTATCTGCAAATATTGGTTATCGGCCATAACAGTGATCTTAATATCGGATATTTTTCATATATAATTTGATATTTTTATCATGATTGTGGCTTATAGCAGTGACCAGTGAATGTTTTATTGTGTGGATGTGCATGTTGTTTTTACTTGTCCAGGGCAATTCAATTTCCCCCTTGGGGATTAATAAAGACAACCTTGAACCTTGGATATCGGTATCAGCCCAACAATTTCATATCGATGCATCACTAGTGTTACTTCCAAATTCAATGCTTTTAAGACTTTCTAAGACCCCGCGGGAACCCTGTAAAAGATATGGAGACATAGGTTCGGGTCCACATCACCCAGCCCTAATAGGAATAAAGACAAGGTGGGAACAATAACATATCCGTCATTGTGCTTGTGCCTGTACTTACCTCTGTAGTTGTCTAAACTCTACTAGAATCAGACCAGCCACTAATGATAGCAACGGCGTGATGAGTGTATATTTTTATAAATCTGCTATTGATCTTTTCTCATACCAAAACATAAAATTAATTGCAACAAGTAATTAAATTTAAACATGTGATCTAAATATGTGTTGTTCAGTATGAGGAAGTACCCTCTGATGTCACTCTAAAGTGAACCCACATGCTGTGTCACACTCAAATTAAATGAATCATAGCTGCAGTTAAGAAACAAAAAAAGCCACTTCTCTGTTGTGTCTTACCTCGATGTTTTTACTCGCCACATTCTTCACAACAGCTGGAAACAACTCGGATGCATTTTTTCCTTTGGAAATGAGCTGAAAAAATATTCAATTCAATTAGGCAAAAATGTTTTTGTCCTAAACAATAAACTCAGAGAATATAAAAAAACAAACGCACTCCAACAATCCTCTTCATGGCCTCCAGTTTGAGTGACTCCTTGTTGCTCTCCAGCATCTCCTTCAGGTCTTCGTTCCTGAGGACAGAGAATAGTTTTGATCCATCTGTGTTGAAAAGCCAGGCAAGTACAGCGTGTGTGATCCAGAGGGTACGAGAAGTTCAATCTAAACTCAAAGTGATGTGAAATCTCTGTGTTTTTAACATCTGTGGCTGTTTCACACACTTACAGCTGCATATCCCAGAATTCCTCACACAGTTAAATGACAGGGATGTTAGGCGAGCAGCAACAATGCCATCTCAGTGGCACACCGGAATCACAGCAAGTTCATTTAAAACAGCTCATTGCTAACGGGATGACTGTGGCCATTCCTGAGCTAACACACAACGTTGTTCTGCAAAAACACAGCTGTTTGTTTAGGCGCAGAGGCTGAGAAATGTGGACAACAAGCTGCAGAAGGCTCAGAACACTGACTCAACTTTATCAGAACTGATCAAAACCCTCATTTTAATTCATCAGGATTTATTCATGACTCAGCAGATTCTTATTTCACATCAAAGTCATCATCAAATCTTTAGTGTGGTCAGTAATAGCCCTTCAGTCACTCCTGATTGCATCATGGTTCATTTGTATGATTCCTTTTACTGATGGGACACTGCAGTGTCCATCAGTGCTGGATGACCACTAACTCCTGATCTATGGATTAGTTTTCTAGACAAGACTTGAATCAATGCCGATTAGATTTTATTAGCTCCGCTGAGCGTTTCAGTCTTTATCGAAAACTAAACACAACACTTTGAAAGGCGTGGTTCACTGAAAAGCCATTTTTTTTAATTATTACGTCTGATTATAATCAGTCACTGAGTTTTTCATGCAGGCTGAACATGAAAACAGTCTCCATCTCCTGCTTTAGCTTCTGGTAGGAAACAGATGGTTAAACTCTAGGACTAGAAAATCCTGACAGATTTACATCACACCGTCACTTAACATTCACGGACTCACCCATCTTGAGTCACAACAGGGAAGGCTGTTGTTGGTTTAGCATCCAGGAAACAACAGAGAACAGCTAGTAGAAGCTAACCGTTAGCATTAGCAACTCCACCACACAGCAGAACTCCTCTAGGTTTGTGTGATTTGTGGAGATGAAACATCAACGATGCAGAGCAAACAGAATCAGTGGTAGAGTCACGCTGCTGTTATCCAATCAGAGGCGAGATGTCCAATTCTTGCCGTCTGAAGCTACCTTCTCCTCCAGCTGACTTGTACTTTCTGAAACAGACATCCCACCAGGGGAGCCGAGGGGCTGTAAAATAATTTTTTTTTACACATTCATTCATTCATTTTATTTACCAGCTCTGCAGGGTTTTAGGAAGCTAGTGCCCATCTACTGTCATTGACCGAAAGGAATGGTACACCCTGGACAGGTTTCCAGGCAACTATAAGCACTATAAAATTGGGGGCCCTTTACCATTGCGCTGATCTGAATTTAAACACTAATGAACTTTTAGTCCATCTCGGTTTAACTTGCCTTACAGGCTGTTTAAGGATGTGTGAAACTTTTCTATTGGACTTGTGTGGAAACAGCTGCAATTTGTTTTGTCATCTTTAAAAAATATATATCAGGGCAAAATTGGTATTTTTAGTGAAAATTCTCTGACCAGTTTAAACTGCTTGGATGACGGAAAGCAAATCGAGCTAGGACATTTTGAATGTGGGCAGAATTTATTAGGAATCAGTGCTCTGCCTCACTCTCTGGCATAGAAGGGTGATGTTACGGCTTAGCAGATGCAGAGGAAACGGATAGATATGGACTAGTTTAAAAATCTCATTCAAGTATTTAAATAACATCCTTTGTTGCTACTTTGCAGCAAAAATACCATACTGATCTGGAATGAGAAGTAAAATGTCCAAATATCCCACCTGCTATGTTCCGAACACTCAGCCCTTGTTAAACAAACGAACCTAAAAACATGGGAAGGACACGGGCCGTGCTAGGGCTGATCTTACTGCTATACCTGGCTTTGTGCGTTTCCTTGGCTTTGCTGCTGGTGTGTGTGAGGGCCTGTTCCTCCTGACTGAGCTCGGGTTTTAGAGTGAGCTGTAAGCTCTCTGCAGACACCAGCATGGTCCTCATGGCTCCCACTGCCTCCGAACGCAGAGAAGACAAACTGCCATTCATACCAGCTTTCTTCTACAGCAGGAAATCCCCTCAGTGACTCCACAGCTGACTGTAAATCCACAAACCGAAGAGTGATCGAGAGCTTCGGTAATTACACTCCTTCAGACTGGGGGGGGGTCCTTTACACTCGTCTTCTTCCCACAGCTGCCATGGCTGAGAACTGAGGAAACACCCAACAGGCTCCACTGACTTTTTGATTCACTTCTTTCTTCCTCTTCTGTTGTGCAAAGAAAAAGTCACAAGATGCCACGTCAACTTGGAAAGTTGTCCTTATGCGTGAAGACAATGTGTGTTCACTCTTCTCCTTCTGTTGGTCAGCTGTTTCTTCTCACTTATCACGCATGAGGACCTCCCTGTTGAAAGCTGGCTACCTCACCTGCCCGCTGGCTCCGTATGTGACTCTGTCCCCGTGGAACACCAGCACTTCCCTCTAGGGGAAAAAGGAGGGCCTTATCTACACTGGTGGATAAACACAGACACCAACGCAGCACAATGATCTACTTTAGTCCAACACCATTGAGAACACATACCCTGCCAAGTTTGGCCAACAAGGCCGACAGGACAGGTCTTAAATCAGAGATAACGGCACCAGAATCAATGTCAGGAAACAACCTTGAAAATGTGAGTGGGCCACAAGCCCCCACAATGCGGGTGAAAAATTGAGGCAAACGCGGAAGTGAAATAAATTGCAGTTCCACCCTCATCCACTAGGGGCTGGTGTCAGAAGCGAGCAAATCTTCATTGACTCCCATGTTAAAAATACTAAATTCAGAGCAGAAATAAACATGTTTACAGCCTGGTACCAAAACATGTTTTTGGTTTAAATGATCTAGTTTACACTCATGACAACTCTGAGGGGGGTGAATTTTTTCTCACTCTTCTGTTTAAGTGTTTTAAAAGCCTAAAATTCTGTATAATTAATGAGCATCCGACCCACGTGACCACAGAGCTAGCTTTGGGGAAAGGCCTCAGTAGAGCCTTGGTCTGGCCTGAAAACTGTTCCATCAGTTTCAGTCTCTCAACTTAGACCATTATTTGTTGCGTTTGTGCGTTCTTTTTTGGATATAATTTGTGCAATTGTTGGGCAAAATGACTTGCTGTGGTACTAATTGCACTAATAGAGCATCCAAGGAGTCTCCACTTCATTTTTTTCAGTAAGTAAAATTATATTTATGCATTTTAGGTCACTGCCGAGCTGAGCTTAGATTTTAACATGTACTGTTTAACCATGAAATTTAAATGTAATAGGGTAAAACCCAGTGCATTTAACATAATGCTGCACTTTAGAAAATGGGTTGAAATATAACATGTTGGTGGAGCTGGGTTCCCACTATCGGCTTGTGGAGCTCTCAGGAGACCTCGGTTTTCCACCCGTTTCTCCCCTCCCTGCAGCTCGGCGCATCTCTGTCTGATCGCGGCTTCTGTCTGCCGCGCAGGCTGCCAGCTTGTGGAGCTCTGGGATGGAAACCTTTCCACCCGGTTCTCCCTGGGTGCCCCGTGACAGCTCTGCGCATCTCAGATCGCAGCAGCGCTTGTCTGCTGTGCGGCTGCTGGCTTGTGGAGGTCTCGGAGACCTCTGTGTTCCACCCGGTTTTACCCAGCGGTCAGCCCGGCGTATCTCTGACTCAGGAGCTCTGGTGTTGTGCACAGTTAACTCCGGTTGTAGCTAGGTTGCTACCTCCGTTAGCTTAGCTCCCATCTCCGCGTTAGCTTTGGGTTAGCTTCAGGTTAGCTTGTAGCTAGTTCGACCGGGTGTCGTCAGTTGATTCCAGCCTTACAGCCCCACCCTCAGCACCACCTCTCTTCCCTTTTGTGGAATTGTCTGGGCTTGATGGAACCTGTGACACGGTCAAAATGGCGGTGGTATCCACCTCCCATTTCTCTTCCAAAACGTGTTATTGGGTCTATGGAAACCCATTGTCCATATATGTATATGTCGATGGTGGGCCAGCATGTTTTCTGGAGAAGGAATAGGCCTCCTTCATTTTCTTAATGAGATCCAACCAGACATCAGTTTCAATGCAGATAAAAACATGTAGCTTGCTAACAGGCTAATGAAAAGCTAGCATGTTACCTCCGGATTAGAGGTAGACTAATATGTTGTCGACCAACATTTACCTTTTTATAAAATATATCAGTATCAGTTGATATACCTCCTTAGTAAAAAAAAAAAATAACTAAGGGAGAATTAGCAGTTTTGGCTCGCTTTTAGCACCCCCTAGCGTCCAGTTAGTAAAACCAAAAGAGAAACATATCTCCTTGGTGTGCGTTTGTCTTTTTAATACGGAAGTCCCGATACAAACTTTTCACTTCCGATACGATACCGATATTGCAGCCTGCAGTATTGACGGATAGATACTGATATCAGAACAAATCATACATACTTTTACCCGTTTCGTAGTGTGGAATGTTTGAAAGGCTTGATCAAGTGATATTACTGAATCGGAGAACATGAGCCAATAACAGTAAGTATGAAAAAAATGACATTTTTTTTCTTAACCACTAGTTGCAAAAATGGGAACCTTAACAGACTGCTTATATCTGAGATTTTTGATGCCCTTTGATATAATCCAATACACTGTTTTAGGGCCGATATTGAATTACTTCCTATATCGATTTAGGAACGGGACATCTTTACTTTTCAACACCTTAATCTGACAGCTGAAATGTCTCATCAGCCTTCATTAGTGTCTATATACTATATTAGTGTCTATAGACGAAAAATGTATTGATCGTAGGGCTGGGCGATATGGCCTAAAATAAATATCATGATCTATTGAGGTTTTCACCTTGATAACGGTAAATGGACGATAACTACAGGTATGCACAGAAACAAAGGTTGTCCACTAGATGGGGCTGTCACATGTATCATATTGAGTCAAATTTCTACACGACTCCAGGTGGTACATCTTCTTAGAGAGACATGAACGTTGCCAACCTACACACAACTTTATTTATTTTCAAATGTATAGCGATGTAAAAAATTATCTCGATAAGAGTCAGAATTTTCGATAACGATCAATTTTCGATTTAATGCTCAACCCTAATTGATTAAAGAATTGACATAATCGAACAACACAGCTGTTAAGAAAAACACCTGTGATCACAAACAGGTCACACGTGTCAAGAAGCGTTCAAGTCTGCACTAGATTACAGGAGTATTAAGGTTCAGAATCCAACAAATAATATTAACAATTATTATCATTATATAACTTCATTAAAGAAGAAAAATCTGTTTCAATTACAGATGAGTTTAGTTTTTCTCAACAAAAACAAATATGAGAAATATTTGGCATGCTTGAGCACAAACTTGTGCAGGAAGACAAAACGTTCTTGTTTTTGTTCTTTCAGCTTGACCCAAGCTTTGACCCAAATAATCATGAGCAAACATCTATGCAACCTCAGCATACAGTGTTTAGCCAAAAGACAGTCTTTATACAACATCCATGATGTGGTATTTTAAAACTACAGATCCCAGACTGTCTGCTGTGGCTGAGACAAAAAACAGCTAACTCAGCAGGTTTTGCTGCAGTTTGGCATTTTCTGTAGCTTTTCTCAGAAAGCATTAAGCCAAAGCAGCTGTGATGGAAAATCGTTTGGATAGAAAGGGTTGATTGAAAGGTGCTTTGCTGCCCTCTGGTGGCAGTTTAATAGAAACAAGCATCGTTTCTAAACAGCCTAATCATAATTACCATTTTCATTTGCAACTGTAGCATAAAGTTAGTTGTATTAACGCAATGTAGATTACCTCACCATGACAATTTCACTGTAAAGCTGTTAACATCTGCAAGTCTACATCATTATTTTCATTATTTAATCAGGTCCAAAAAGTTTTTTTTATGCAAACCCCAAATATGCTGACTCTAGCTGAGCTGAGACTTTGCTATCCAGGAGAACACGTGCAGAATCAGGATTAGTGTTAAAATCACAGGTAACATCTTTTCTAGGACCATGTGAACACAGGTGCTCTCCTGGCATCAACTATTTTGTATGTGCCAGGATTCAAGCAGCAACTTTGGTGAAAAATTATTTATAGGTCAGCTGACAGAAAAAGAGCTACCTGTATGCACATTTTTCAAAGCTTACTCTGTAACTCTGGACTGCTCAAAGCTACATTTGCTCTAATGTGACAAATAAAAATGGAGATTTCTCTTTAGATGACTATCTTTCAATTTAAACAATCACAGTGAGAAGAGCACAAAACGGCTTAAACGGTTGAAATCGAACAGCAGAGACAATGCATGTGAACTCTAATGAAATGTGGTGTGTCATGTCAGTATAGCCCTTTGGTGGTTAGAAGACATTTAATAACGCTGATGACGATGAAAAAAACTGTAAAAAATTTAAAAACTGATGAAATTGTTTGACAAGATACATAACGATATAGCATCATGTCTTAATTCAATTCACATTTTGTATATTGGATGGAGTGTTTGCACCAACTCACAAGGCCCATCCATGTTTCTGGACCATGTAGATTGGAACCATATCTTTGCAGATGTACTTGGCAATGGCAACTGTAGTACTGATCTCCGTCCACCTGCGAGAGCTGTGGTTATATGGTGAGTCACGGGTATACTCTGTGTCTGGAGTTTATGAATGCTTACGCTACCACTCGACGCTGCTTTAACAGCTTTTGCTTGTTGAATCTCTCTGTATTCTTTTTTGTGGTTCTTGCGGTGGCGGTAAAATTAATTTGTAGTGTTGGAGTTTGCTTTTGACACCGAGAACCGGCAAACTTTACGATAGAGTTTCATATAAAACGATAGACATTTTCTATTGTACAGGCTAGGGATGTGAATCTTAGAGCAAATCACGATTTGATTCGATTCCAATTCTTGGGGTGCTGATTCGATTCAGAATCGATTCTCGATTTAAATCGATTCACAATCAATATTAACAAAGAGTGTCAGTTCCAGCATTAACTACTTTGTTGTACAAGTTAGTTAAAGCTATGGGAAATTTTTATTTTACTTTAAACTGGTCATGCTCAAATATGCAAATTTACAAGATAAAATAAAGTGATTCTAAGGCCCTGTCCACACGTAGCCGGGGATCTGTCAAAACGTAGATATTTTTCTACGTTTTGGCCTGTCATCCACACGAAAACAGAGTTTTTTCACACGAAAACAAATCTTTTTAAAAACTCCGGCCAAAGTGAAGATCTGCGTTTTCTCCGTTTTGGGTGTCTGCATGTGGACAGACAAAACCAGAGTTTTAAGGTCCGCAACGTCACTTTCCGCGACAAAAAAATGCTGACATCACGTGTGCGACCTGTGTTTACACTAGCCGGCATCATGGAAGCCCTCAGAGCTGCGCTCTGTCTCTACCCGATCCATCAATTGTCCAAGCGCTTTCTGCTTGTTTGTTTTTGCAAGTGGAATTACTGCTCCTTGCGGAAGACCACAGACGAAGGACGAGGTTAAGAACGGGGGAAGTACTGCCGCCTACAGGTCTGGCATGTCCTTAACATCGTATTTATCCGGGTACGTGTGGACAGAGTTTGTTTTTAAAACGCGGTGGTGTGGATGCAAGTTTTTGGAGGGGCGGATATTCGTTTTTAAAAAACCCGGCTACGTGTGGACTAGGCCTAAAACTGTAAACAATGCAATATTTTGACCAAAATGCAACTTATTTTTTTGCTTACCTTGTAAAATATAACAAATCTGTAGTTACCTAACAGTAGCTTTGAAAGTAATACGGTCAATTACTTTTCAAGTATGTGTGGAAACAAGTTTAACATTCGAGTCCTGAACCTGTTTAAAAAAAGTGCCTCAGTTTTCTTACAAAGGAAAATGTGTTCTCTCATTTATCAATAACTTAAAATAAATACATGAGTAATCCTGAGTAATCACTTATCAACTTAGAACATAAATATGAGAACATCTCTAATTTCTGAGTATGGAACTAATTACATTCAAGTGCTCACTTGTCAGCAGATTCAAAAATAAATCATCTCAATTCATGGGAAGACAAAAGTAAACGGAGTACCAACTCTCCTAACAAAGATCAAAAGACAGACAAAAGTGCATCTCAAACCTGTAACATGCCAAACATTTGAGTTCTTGAGATCGATTCTGAATCTTT